ATAACTGAACCTGTAATGTGCACATTTTGAAAAAAGAGAGCTTGTTTCAAAGAACAGAATTTGTCATACAAATAGATTGAGGTAATCGCGCATGAATAGTTTTCAACCTTTATCTGAACTTCCCTTCTGCACCACCACTCTGCGGTGCGTGCTCTGGAAAGGTGACTGAACTGTGAATCAGTCTGGAGATTCTGTTATAATGATGCACTAGTTTGGCGGTAAGTGGAGCAGTTGCTAGTGATGGAACTTGAAAGCAGAGCTCTGATTCTCAATTTTTCTTATTTGAGGACCAAGCATTGCAGTAGAGTTGGTTGAATTTGACACACAAGGGTCAATGGACTATGCCATTTGGTTTTTCTCCACTCCCAAGTTTTACCTTAATACGCTCACCAGGCAGGTTAAGACATGGGAGGTGAAAGTTGCTAAGTCAAAGAAAATTTCCTTTCCGTCTAAGCCTTTTTTTGTGTGCATTAAAGAAAGTAACTCCCAAAATGTAAATCCTGAAAGGTTTTTTCCCCCTTCCCTCTTCGTACAATAGCTACACAATTAAGCAGTGGCACTATAAAATGCTTTTTAATTGTTTCTTTTCAACAGACAATGTTCAACCATTTCTAGGGGGGAAAAGCATGTTGAAATAGTTATCAGCCAAGAATTTCTAAATAGTCCTAAAGGGCCCCTCACAAAAGTCACATTGCAGTTAATAGGCTGGAGGATGCTAGTATTACTGATCTTCAGGCCTGCCAAGAAGGTGAGGGGGAGGTAAAGGGATAAAATATCTCAGAGCCCACTGATTCTAATGAGCTACTGGGGCAGAGGTGGGAGCTGGAGCCCCAGGCCCTTTAGAATTGCCACCAGAACCCCATGTCACATGCTCTGGGGCTCAGTGCCATCCAGGTGGTACTAGGGCCTGGCTACTCTGCCCCTGCCTCTTTTGCCCAAGGCCCTGCCCCTTTTGGGAGCATGAAGCCATCCCCCCTACATTGATTAGGGGCCCTGAAGTCCTGTTGGCTCTCCTGTAAGTCCTTAACCACGTATATTGTGTCAGAAAGTTCAATTTCTACACATACACTTTGTACCCATGACAACTGAAAGGTGTACTTTGCCATTGAGAGAGTTTGTGTTTTTCTTCCTCCTGCCCCCCCCCCCCCCCGGGCACTGTACAAGGATCACTATATTAGTTAATGATCTGTAAAAGGGGGAGAGCAAAGAGTTTCCTTAGGACTGTATATATTGAGTGAGGGAAATTCAAAGCTCTTCACCTCCCATATTGCAGCCACGTGTACTGGATAGAAGTTTGAAGATGGATGTGGCTCAGAAACAGGTGAGACTGTGCAAGGTTTGTGATGACTGTTATGTCTCCAGCTGTGTACAATGTGCGGTTTGCTGTTAAGTCATTTTGTTTGATTTTTACGTGCAGCAGCTTTAAAGTAGACATTGTAGTTCTTTGATGTATTCTGTCAACTATTTATTTCTTCTACTGGAGATGATGCTGAGGTACAGCCAGTGGAATACATTAGTGACATTTCTGCTGCTTAAGTAAAATGCTACATTAGAATAAATGTGTTTTTAAAAAACCTTGTCACTTGCAAAGCTTCAACATTGATATTATCAGATGTATATGTTTGGATATAAATAAACACAAAATTAATTCTGGTCATCTTTTTGTTCCATTATGCCTCATGTATAGGTAATTAGCTAATAACTTTCTGATACTCAGGAGTCCCTAGATTACAGAAAAATAATAATCTAATATCTTTTTTTCATTCTCTGTGTGTATTTTAGCTAGCAGCTGACAAAGGTGTAATTTCTTTCCTTTATTACTTAGATCAGAGTTACAGATATGCCCTCACAGAGGAAAGAAATACAGGCACATATGTCATTCTAGAAGTGAATGTCTGTGAGTGTGGAAGAAGAATAGTAGAAGCAGCTGCTGAATGAAATAGTGTTAGAAAGGATGATGATAAGTCAGTAGCATTAGCTGCTTGTATTCCTCCTCTTAGATTCCAAATCCTATGTTCTTGCTCTGTTTTTGTTTGAGAATTTGAAAACCACATGGCGAAGCAAAGGACTGATTAGTTTCAGTGGCCTATATGCTAATAAACTTAGACCATAAGCTAAATTACACTTTTTAACAATAGTAATAACAACATAATGATTTGAGGCCTAATGACTGGTAAACTGAGAAGGTTAAATATTTTTTTGCCTACTGATTCTGTCTAATAATGGCATCAGCTTTCATTTGGAGTAATATTGACTTTTCTTATATTTCATCATAGCTAAAGTTTGCTTTCTTGCCCAGACCATGGAAAACTCTATGGGCTGTAGTTTCTCATTATATTGCTCAGATGGTAAAGCTATTGGAAAGTTAGAGCTTGATTAAACAATGAGCTGAATGCAGTGACTTGCACAAGACAGATGACGGGGCAGAAATCTGGCCTGTGGGCCAGATTTGACCCATGGCTCAGCAGAAGCCTCGGAGGACACACTGCTCAGAGCAGTCGGTGGTAGAGGCTTGTGAGTCTCTGAGCTGGGTCTATGAGCTGGGAAGGGAGGCTTCATGTGCTGCCCCAGCATAATCTCACACCTCCCATTGGCCAGAAATTGGCCATTAGCAGCTGCTTCTTTTCAGGGCAGGCATTAGGCAAAGTCCTGCACACCCCATCCCATCAGAGGGACACATGACCCCTGCATCTGGCCACTCTGAGTGGCCTGAAGGGACTGAGCAGGCAGGGAGCCTGCCTTTCCCGGCCAGAGTCTACCTCCTGTCCCCCAACCCTCTATTTCCCCTCCTATACCCCTGCCCCCATGTAACCCAAATCCTCTGTACCCCCACTCCTGCACCCATAACCCCTCCTAGACCCTCCAACCCCTCCTTCACCTGAATCTCCTGCCCCAGATCACAACCCCCTCCTTTATCCAAACTCCCTTCCAGACCCCACATTCCCTCCTACACTACAATTCCCTATACTGAGCTTCCTTCTGCTCCCAACCTCTATCCCAGATCCTGCACCTTCCTCATGGAAATGTGCGGCCCTTGACCACATACCAAATGCTCTATTATAAATTAATGCCCACCCCTGTTCTACATGGACCAATAAATGTGCAGCACATTAGTGTACTTTAGAAAGTACAACTCCTTTAGAGCACATTTCCCCACAGTAATCATTTGTCTTGTTTCTTGCCCGTTGACAAGAAGCAATGGGCTTAAACTGCAGCAAGGGCGGTTTAGATTGGACATGAGGAAAAACTTCCTGTCAGGGTGGTTAAACACTGGAATAAATTGCTTAGGGAGGTTGTGGAATCTCCATCTCTGGAGATATTTAAGAGCAGGTTAGACAGACATGTATCTGGGATCGTCTGGACAGTACTGGGTCCTTCCGTGAGGACAGGGGACTAGACTCAATGGCCTCTTGAAGTCCCTTCCAGTTCTAGTGTTCTATGATTCTGTTGCTAAATGTTGGGGTTCATTAAAGGGTAGTTTAAAGAATGCATGGAGGTAGTAAATTTGACCATACTTACAATTGTTATAATCTGGTACAGGCTGCACCTCTATAAATCAGAAATCCTTGCTCCTGCAACATCCGTGATCCAGAAAGATCATGGATGTTCCAGGATCAGAGAATCCTGGTGCTCTGCAAAGGAGAGGGGGCCAGGAGCCAGGAAGTCCGGTGGAGGTGGCAGTGGAAAGGCCAGAAATGACCTCCCCTGGTCTGGAAAAATCCCTCAGGTCCTGAGGGTGCCAGACCAAGGATGTCCAACCTGTAGTATCATGTAGATCATTAATATGCAGTTGTTTAATCTACTACTCAGGCTAAAAGAATAATCCATAGGAGAAAGGAGAACTGGTTTCTATTCTCTGTGGGTACATCTACATTTGCTCCCTATCTTGAGATAGTGATGCAAATGTAGTGTACTGAAATTGCTAATGAAGGATGGGATTTTAATATCCCGTGCTTAATTAGCATAATTGCATCTGGGCACCATTTTGAAATTGCATTATTGAGAAATAAAATGCCCCGTGTAGCAGCATTATTTTGAGAGAAAACCCTTCTCTCGAAATAACTGTTACTCCTCACTGCCGTTCACTTGACTAAATACCCTTTCACAATAGGTGGGTGACGCCTGCCTATATCTCCCAGAAGCAAACATTTGAAATACCAGTACATCGCCAATACTCATAACTTTACATACAAAAATCATGCAGGCATATGAGTAGTATAAGCATAAACAGCAAAGCATAAGCTTTCAATAGATACTTCATTTGGTCCACTTTGTACAAAATTTGGGGAAAACACACAACAGTCGTTGCAGCAATGATCTACGTGTTCACATCAAAAATCCAATAACTTCACATCCTGGTTGAGAGGAGGGAATCCTTGGCCTTCCTCTGCAGCTTGGGGCATAGCTTGCTTGGTGTAAATCAGTGTTTCTCAACCTTTTTTTTTAAATAAAATATCCCTTTTTCAAAAAAAAAAAAAAGTATAAGTACACCCAGTACCTACAGTTTTCAGACACACACAAACATTTTCTATCATTGCAACACCTTTGTTTAAACAACTTAATTGTAGCAGGACGGGCGATGAATTGTTGGGTGTAAAAAGTACAAAAATAATAAAGTGCTGTAAAACTTAAAACAAAAATTCAGTTTTCTCTAAATTTCAGTTGTGTTGACTTACCTCCAGAGTTAGGGGTCTATTACAGGAGTGGGTAGGTGAGTATTGTGGCCTGCTCTGTGTGGGAGATCAGACTAGTTGATCATGATGCTCACTTCTGACCTTAGAATTCAGGAGTCTGAGTAAAAGGGAATATTTTTGGCCTTCCTAATACACTATAAATCATTTTTAAAAGGGTACAGTCCAATTTTTTTAAAAGTCCCTTTCTTTGTAAGTCACGCTGAAGTATAGTGGATGAGATTGTGATGTATAAGTTTATATTTTCTCTTATTTCACAGCAAACTGACCTCACTGGGTGTTTTTGTTTGTTTCTTTCTTTCTTTCCAGTGGAGTTTTTACACTGTGATTTGGCTTCAATGAAGTCCATACGGCAATTTGTGCAACAGTTTAAAGCAAGGAATTGTCCACTCCATGTTCTGGTGAATAATGGTGAGTTCTTTCATCTTCTTGCATGCTTACTGTAAGATTTTGACATACAGTATTAGGTTCTTTACAATGCTTCACATTTCAGATGCTTTATTTGAACCAAGCAGCAAGATAGCAATAACCTTTGCAGCACTTCAGTAACTTTTTAAGAGACATCCTGGCTTGCCAGCTCTTTTAATTTTATTTCTATTCCATCATGCTCATGAGGGGTTTTTTTTTTTAATTAAAGTCCCAGCTCCCAGAGCCGTTGAATTACAAGACAATTCCAGCATTCATGTTAAAAAAGTTTCTTCTAGACTTTATGGCTGTGGAGAAAAACCATGAAGAATATGACCTTAAAAGTTCAAATATCCAAAGGCAGGGGGGAAAAATGACTTCTTCTTTTTAATTTTTTTAATCACGAGATTTTTAGGGACTGCCTCTTGATTTTTTTTTTTTTTGGTGCACATTAAGATTGGTACTTCTAACTATCGAATGTGCTTTATGACCATAGGTTCCAGCCGACAGATATATGTTTTTTCTGTTTTAAAAACACCCTTTATACTAACCATTCTGCTATAACGGGAATTATTCATATATTCATTTAATTAGAAACAAACCAAACCCCTGCAGTCACTACAGGCTATTGCCTAAACCCGTCAGCACTCACACACTGGTTTTTTTTCTTTCCCCCCAACTATTTTCATGAACCTCAAGCAAGACACAAAGGATAAAATCAAGAAATCCAAAAGGATCCATACAGTTTCCTTTACCCACACAACTGTCCTGGATTGCTGAGGGCAAAACAAACTAATAATTTCACCTACATTACATCAGATTATTTGCTACCTGCACAAATATGATATAGATAGCAGCTCTTGATAGTGCAAACTATAGATCTCAGAATACTGAAATGAAGATTCAGCCGTTTTATTCTGTGACATTAATGTAAATATCTGCCATATCTTAACTCCTGAGCTCTTCTATTCTGCAAGTGTCGATAAAGATAGCCAATCATCTTCAAGAACAAAATGTTGTCTGCAATGGATTGGATTCTTAAGGTATAATAGATCTTGGGGACCTTTTAAGAGAAAAACATTGTAAATTTCATAGATTCATAGAATTCGAGGCTAGAAGGAACCATTAGATCATCTATTCAGACGTCTTGATTGGAAAAACTAGCTTCTGTCCTAGCTGCAGCCTATGCAGTAAAAATGACTGCATACTGTTCATACTGCATACATTTACATTCTGTAACTATACATTCTTTCTTGTCAGAGTGGATAAAAGCATTATAGGCCCAATTTTAAAAATGTAGCTGACTAAAGTTAAGCATCTAAGTAATTTTTTAGGCATCTGAACAAAAATTCCCTGCCTTTCAGCAGTGTCCAGGACATTCCGCTCTCATTGACTTCAGAGGGATTTATGGTTGTTCAGAAATTCTGAATTTCAGGCTGCTTTTACTCAGATGCCTAAATAATGCAACTAAGTTTGAACATTTGAGCCATAAAATCTGCAATTATTCAACTGCTCTGAGACATATTAATAACTAGCAGATTTATCTGGTGTTGCTCGGGTCCTTAACTCGATTAATTTTGGGGAAGGTAAAAAGGAGAGTAATAGGAAAATATACATGCTTTGTTGAAATGATTGCATTTTCAAAAATACAGTCTTATTTTTATTGTTAGTTTTAGTGTGTTTTTTTAAATGGGAATTCCATCAAGTGTATTTTTCTTTATTCCTATAAACTCTTATCATTTGCTATTTTTTAACAAAAAAGGACTATAGGCCGTTTGATTTCCAATAACATTGTCTTTTAGTTTTCAAACCTTAAGCATTGATTAGCTATCCCAAAACAGAGCACTACTCCAAATTCCTCCATTTTTATCTTTTTTCTGTAAGGTTTATTGAGAAGCACTCCTTTTACATAAGCATCCTATTTTTCTAGCTCATGTTGGTTCAGTCCCTTTCAGTATTCACTCAATTCTGTAAATTTTGAGGAGTGTATTTGATTTGGAGATTCTGTCTCTTTTCTATTTAGTTGTATGAGAAGCAATTCCATTCCTGACAAATTCTGTTTTCCTAGCACAACCAAATCATTACACTGCTTTAAGTAATGATAAAAGGAAGCTGTATATGGAATTGGTGGTCCTAGCTCCTTAGGAGGAGTTCTTGGTCAAACTCTCTAAAATATATAGCAGATCATATGCGGCTCCTCAATAGCATTTTTCATCATTAGATCTCAAAGCGCTCTACCAAGGAGAGAGTATCATTATTTCCTTTTTGTAGGGGGAAACTGAGGTATAAGGAGGAGACTAATGTCCCCCAACTAACAGTGGTTCAGTTGGGACTAGAACCCAGGTCTCCAGTCATAGTCCAGAGTATAATCCACTGACGAAACTCTATGGATATCTGAAACAATGTTTAGGAAGGAACACTGATGGTAGGGAGAGGCATAAGGATCTTGCACAAAATGGAAGCAGCAACACTGCTTCTCTTTGTGCAAAAACCCCTTGCACAAAAAGAAACGGCAGAAAATATGCTAATGGTATCGCATATCCCTCATTAGCATATTTTCTGCCACAAAAACTCGCAGTGTAGAAAAAGCCCCCGTGTTTAACTACCCCGACAGTTAGGAACTTTTTCCTCATCTCCAACCTAAACCTCCCTTGCTGCTATTTAAGCCCATTGCTTCTTGTCCTATCATCAGAGGCCAAGGAGAACAATTTTTCTCCCTCCTCCTTGTAACATTATTTTAGATACTTGAAAACTGCTACATATACCCCCTCAGTTTTTTTCTTTTCTAAACTAAACAACCCCAGTTCGTTCAGTCTTTCCTCAGAGCTCATGTTTTCCAGGCCTTTAATCATTTTTGTTGCTCTTCTTTGGACTTTCTCCAAATTCTCCACATCTTTCTTGAAATGTGGTGCCCAGAACTATACACAGTACTCCAACTGAAACCTAATTGGTGCAGAGGAGAGTGGAAGAATGACTTCTCGTGTCTTGCTCACAGCACTCCTGTTAATGCATCCCAGAATCATAGTTTTGTTTGTTTTGTTTTGTTTTGCTTTGCAAGTGTCACACTGTTGACTCATATTTAGCTTGTGGTTCACTGTGACCCCTAGAACTCTTTCTGCAGTACTCCTTCCTAGACAGTCACTTCCCATTCTGTATGGCTGTGTCCAGACTCAGGGGTTTTTTCGGGAAAAGTAGCCTTTTTCCGAAAAAACTTCCCCTGCGTCCAGACTCAAGCTGCGTTCTTTCGAAATTAAATCGAAAGAACGCGGCTTTTCTTTCGATGGCGGTAAACCTCATTTCACGAGGAAGAACGCCTTCTTTCGAAAGTTCCTCTTTCGAAAGAAGGCGTTCTTCAATGTAAATAGGGCTTCTTCGAAAGAGAGCATCCAGACTCACTGGATGCTTTCTTTCGAAAAAGCAAGCCGCTTTTTCGAAAGTTCAACGTGCAGTCTAGACGCTCTCTTTCGAAAGAGGCTCTTTCGAAAGTATCTTTCGAAAGAGGCTTGCAGTCTAGACATAGCCTAGGTGTGCAACTGATTGTTCCTTCCTAAGAGGAGCACTTTGCATTTGTCCTTATTAAACTTCATCCTGTTTCCCTAAGACCACTTCTCTAATAATATAAAGTGTTTGCAGGATCAGACCCTAAAAGAGTGGTTTTGGAAAGATGATAACACACACCTGATTTTCAAAAGTTGTTACATTTTTGCTCTATCATTGCATAGGAAACAAGGAGCCTGATTATTAAAGCAAAGTCATCATCTTAAAAATGTTACTCTTTAATGGACTTAATAAAAAAACAGGATACCGCATTAAAGTCTCTAAGTCCAAAATGTAAACTGTCAAGAGGCTTTACATAAAGTGGCCTGAACTACTTCACATTTTCATGACATTCCCAAGAAAGGAATGTGACTTAATTCATGCTCAGTAACTAAGAGCTTCCAATTGTCCAGATAAATTAGCTGGTTAAGAAAATCCTTTCAGAATCTGTAATGAAATGGATGGCTTAACATAGCCTTTTTCTAAGGCTATAACAGAATCACAGGAATAATCATCTCCAGAACCACTGTAAAGGCTCCCTTATAATAATGAGATTAGCCTCTGACAATCATATGGTGACTCTCTCAGGCTTCCGCTTCTGGAGACATGTTTCTTTTTCTATTCAGCATCTGATTTAGTTCCTGTAAATAATCTGGAGTTACTGTTTTGTCACTAGCTTTACAGTAACATATTAAATATTTGGCTGGGGAAATAAAAGGGGAAGTCAATAGGTTCCAGCACAGCGAACGTCTGATCCAAAGCCCTTTGACACCAAGAGAAAGGTACCCTTTGACTTTGGATTAGTGCTGAGTGCATAATTATGCCTATAGAGCCGCTGATGCTAATTGATATTTATTTTCCTTTTTTCTTTTGCATTCCACTATCTTCACTGGAAATCCATTCAGTATAATTTATACTGTTTTTTATAAAATATGATACGTTTTTAGTTTTTAAGGCAATAAGGGACTAGTCTGTTCCTATTCTCTGACTTCCACACAGAGACACTGATGTTGTTCTTCCCCTTCCTATGTTCAGTCACAAAAATACTATTACTAGAACAAGGGTAATGCCTGCTGTAATTCTGCTTTGGACTGGTTCTGACTGGATTACAAAGGTGTGAGTTAACATGTGCTTTGTTAAAATATTTGATTGTCTGAACACATTTTACATTGATATTAAGGCATTTTGGGGAAAATTAATTTCTTCCAAGGAAATTTTGTTAGTGTGCATATCAAAAATAACCCGTTTGTGAAATTGTAGAGGTCTCTGTATTATCAGATGTTTTTAGTTTTGCGTTAGTTTCCATTGGAAAAATCCTTGTGCATATATGGAATCTGGTACATTTACGTTTTCAATACAATGCCCATTGGAAGTAATGGGAAGACTCTAACTGAGCTTTGGAGGAGAAGCATAGGGTAGGCTCAGGGGGCTTTGTATCAGGCCTTAAATTACTTTAATAGGAATTTTGC